ATATTTTTTAAAGATGATTTATTGTTATTGGGACAGAGGAACTAAACATGAAGGTAGATAGCTGAATGCATATTGACCAGTATATTGAGCAGCAAAGTACTAGCAAAGATTTGGCTGCAAGTACCAGTGTGCAATAATTAAGGTAAATAAATTTAGAGTAGGAATAAAAACCTGCACACATAGGTAATTAGGTTACAAATATTTACTCTAAATCTGGCAGCCCAAAGTATGTAGTAAAAGGATGCATACTGCTGTGCTTTTTATCACATAATCAGCTGAGTCCACACTAAGGAAAGCTTGGTAATATATCTAGTGGTTTAAAAGTAAATGGTTGTAATGATTTTTAATTTTTAGGTTATTCAAATAAAACAATTTAATAATACAAAGAAAGTCCAATTTTATTATCTCTGGGGTGATAAGTACAGTATTATTCTTGGGATGCCTCTTTGGCAGATTGCATTGTGGAAAGGATTTACAAGCTATGTAGCTGGCTGACTAGCTTGCTGAGTCTTCTACTCCTGATTCCTCATCAAGTCTCTTTCAGCCTTTATTGTTCCTCTTTAAGTTCTCACTTCCCATCACTGTTCTTTAATGGCCTTATTTCCTGTCACTTCATCTAAGTCATACCTCCTTTTTAATTTTCTTTTTTTTTTCCTTACAAATTTTCACCACACTCACTCTTTTATTTGCAGACTAAGGAAATCTGCAGGTATTTAATCCATGATTTATAGCACAGCCTTTGGAAATACATTGCATTTTAAATTAAACTGGAAAGTTCATAATGTGCAAAACCTGGCTTTTCCACATATGTGTGGGATTTTTTAAAAACACTATTAAACTATGTAACTGTTGTTGTGATGATCATGCTGCACAGTACACTTTTTTTTCTTAAACCAGTTTCTAACTCACAAATAATTGGAAGTAATGAAGATGTGTAGGTAATGTTGGCTTTCTGCCTTAGGCTTTCTGTTTGGGTTGTTTGAAGTGCCCTTCTTTTTTTTTCTGGAATCCCTTAGAGTTATAGAAAAGAGGTTGACATTTAATTGAGGCAATAATTATATGAAGTTATGTCTTCATTACCAGTCATCTGAAATGATACAGTGTGTTGTGTTCCGTCAGTGTGCCACCAATATGAACAAAATGTCTAAGTGTCTCAGGAAAAAACCCCACCCTGTTTTTGATAATAGCATTCAGACTGCATATATTAATAGTAAGTTACTGCAGAACTCTGGTAATATCCACTCTAAGAAATATTATGCATTTTAAAGAGTATGTTTAAAAATATGATCCACCAAGGTCATAAGGCTCTGAAAATGTCATCTGAAATTCCATGGTCATTATCATTATACAAATTTGAAGTGATAATTTTGAAGAGGGGAAAAAACCCAGCCTTCGGAATATTGTAGTGCAGGTGGAAAATATCTACTTAAGAAAGACCTATTCATATATGAAAGGGTTTTGGGACTGAGAAGTGGAACTAGATCTAAATACCAGGACAAGCCAAGTTGAATAATCTGCTCAACTGTCTGATTATCAAAAGTAAAAATTCACTGCTTTGGATATTTCTTTACAATGTACTATTCACATGAAGATGCCATTAATAGTTCATTGATCTTTTTTTCTAACAGATATGTGTGCAACTATGGATGGAAAAACATAGTAAAAAATCCCTAATTAACAATTAATGTTCATATACCAACTCATTTCTAGCACTTCATTTAGCCCTTTTCATTTGAAGTGCCTGGTATAAAAGGGGTAGAGCAGGTTTTCCAACATGGGGTTTAGTGACCCAGAAGGAAATTCTAAATCAAAGGGAAATCTGAGAAAAAATTGCTTGCCTTTTTCTCTTGCTCATGTTCTTTACTGATTTGTGATGGCAAGACATGACAAGAGAAACAACTGAACTCTGAAATCATAGCCAAAAAAATCAACAAGTCTCCTTTGGGCTGTGATGTACATTTTGATATAATTGGTGGACTAAAGTAGCTTGGAAAATCTTCATGTTCTACTTAGGAATTCTGCCACAATCTTGCTAAACTATAGAAAGATTACCTCTTTCAACATTTAGCTTTAATGTTAATTGATGTTCATTGCCCTTTCTCTCATATTTCCTCATCCATTCCCTCTGGATGTTTGGTTAAACTGTGTGTTGCTTTGTATCATCATGTCCTAATTCTGCAATGAATTTTGCACAGTTAAAGTCGAAGCTGTTCGTACTCAGGAACTTGAAGTTAAATATATGGAGAGATGTTTGGCCAATTAAAGCACTAGAACTCAATTACTAAAGGCACTGAAAATTTCTGCCTTTCTGTGTGTTTGTTTACTGACAAGTAGAAATTTGGCCTTAAAAGGAGCTCTTTGGTAGTTGTTTTGATGATATTTTAAGTACTAGACCTAATTAAACTGTTCAGTCACTTACAGACAGAAGAGTTCCAGCAAAAGCATTGTGGCTGTTGGTCATATTTCCCTATGTTGTTTAGCACATTAAACCAGACAAGAATTCAAAGTGGTGCTTTAGCTCTTTGAGCTGAAAAAATAAAGCTACATGTTAGCAAGTAGATAGCGTTCCTTCTGATGTTTTATGTACGTTGTTCTTTGTACTATACTTTCTACCATTTCTGATGCAGGGAGAAATTTACAGAATTTAGGTGTATAAAGAGGTGAATGACAATGTCTTGAGCTATTTAAAATATTTCATTTTTTAGGGTATATTTTCAGATTCAGGAGAATGTTGAGTTTATGACTTCAAGTGAGCCAAAATGTGTAATGGTGGAAATTTCACCATATAATGCTGACATATACCTTTCTCGTTAAAGCAACACATACTTTCAGTTACCTTACTGTAGTGGAAGATCCTGAGATTATTAGGAGCAGTGTTAGGTCCTGTCAGTTACATAGATACTGAATAAGCTGCATCTTCTAGGATGATGCAGTGTGAATTTTCTGCTGACTGTCAAGTGAGCCTCAGTGCTTTGTTCTCATTGTATGTCAGTTCCCCTGGTAGTTCAGGACCTCTTTCAATCCTTTTGTTTAGGTGATTTTAAGAACTTTTTCGTTGACGTCTTACCTCCTTATGCTTTGAGCATCTGCCTCATAACATTTGGCTGTTGGCTGTCTCTGGGTTAACCCAGGAAAGAATTCCAGTCTCGACGTTGAATTTCTCTGCTTTGTTGCCTGACTGTAACGTACTGATTTTGTAGTTCAAAATAATGCTTTGCTTTAGAGCTGGTCCCTACGTTTTTAGGACAGAGGCTAAAACCTCAGACATTTTAATAGCAGTTAATACTTTATGCATATGGTTGATATTGCTGTGCTGCATTTTATGATCCGTGAAGCTGCTGGCTGCTAACAGTAGGGTTTCAGAGATAGTACCTTACAATTATTTGGTATATTTTTATTGCATTTTATGCTTTTCCACCAGCATTGGTCAGCTGACCTTCAAATCCAGGAGAATAAACACATTCCTGTACGCAGTGGTTCTACAGTATTTGTCCTAGGGCAAAACAGCCTGAATTGCAATTCACCCTTGTAATCGGGTGATACAAATTTTAATGTTCGTGAATTAAACTGTCACTTTTCTCATGAAATACTGATGTGGTTTACTCCAGTTAAATAAAGAGAGGTATTAAGCTTGATGTAAAGGTTTTATAGGAAGGTGGAAGCAGATTCTGGAAGCTGGGGTGTTTTTTTCATGAGTGAAGGCAGATAAGCCACTGGTGTGTCTTTGCACCAGAGCTACCAGTTTTCTTTTGCTCCTTTACCTGTTGACACTACGACTATGAACATGTAATCAGTTGAATCTGTACATGATACTTAGTAAGTCACTGTAAGGTGCCTTTTTATGACACCAGCTTCATACATCAAACAATTTTACATCGCTTTATACTTGATGTTTGTTAGCTGAGCATACATAGTTTGACTTGATGGATTTATATTGCATTGATCACAAACTGGTGTTAAAAGTCTGTGTAGGCATAGTGAGGAATTGAAGATCCTCGTGTTATACTCCATCATTTTTATTGACGTTTCCATATATTTTTCATTTCATAAGTTCTTGCTGGTCAATTGCAAAACTTCTTATCACTATTCTGCAGGCCTTTGGTGTTTCACAGGATTAAATATTTGAGCTTTTCTTGTGCTAGGACTTACAGGATTGTGCTGTAATTAAATGAAATGTCTTCCTTGTTTTTTCTAAGACTACAATGTAAATAGACAAGGGAAATCCCAGAAGCTTTCCTCTTTCAGAATCCTAAAGTAGTTTTACATCCTTTCTGTATCTTTCTCTAACAAGTTCCTGTAGACTGCTCTTTTCTTTCTTAGGACTACCTTGTCTCCACACCCACTTCTGTTCCCCTATGTCTTCGTATTGCTCTTTCTCTTTCACGAGAGACATAGATGTGCCTACATCATACGAAGTCTGTTTAAAAAGTGCAAGGGGAAGCTGGTGATCAAAGCAGAAGGCGTGCATTAGATGATAGTAGAAGCAATTATGAGATTCCAAATACTGGAATGTTGTTTGAATAAGGATGGGATAGATTGCATGAGTTTGAAAGGAAAGATGGTACTTGGAGGTGATTGACCTTGTGGGGCTTTTGTAGTTTCTGTGAGGTTCACATAAGCACCCAATATTTAGGAAAGAATGTCAGTAACATTAGACAAATGTACAACTTAAGCTTCGGCTTCTATTTCACATTCTTTCAGCATGTTGTGATTCGTAACATGCTGCACCACTTAATGAGCATTTGGTAGTGGAGCACTAAAATGGTAACTTTTGGGTGCTTATCTGAACAAAAATTTGAACCTTCTGAAATTCACCCATAATTAGAATTTTCTACTTTCAATCATGTTGCCAGCAGTATTTCAGCAATGAGGCTGGAGATACTCCATGATGATGCTTTTCAGGTCTGAATTGGAAGCTACAATTCAGACTTCTTATTATGAAGCTCTATTTTAGCAAATGCTCATCAAGAGGTGCAGCATATTATAGATTAAACATGCTAAAGTGATATCAAATCCTAATTAAGATTATGAAGAGAAGGTAAACCACCCAAATTATCATAGTTTTATATGCATTGTGAATGTATTTCCCATCTTATTTTTTTTTAGTATTATGGGCTGAACTGCTAACTTTTGTTGGAGGCTTTCATTAGTGTTGAAAACATTGAGAACAGCACAGCAATTTGATCTTTGCTCATATTACTGAGTTGTCATTGTGCTGTACTGTAACCATTTATGATGACTATGATATAGGATGCTTAGATGTTACAAGATTTGAAATGCCTATATGTAACTCTGCATGATGCAACAGAAAGAGGCTCCATCATTGATAACACTTAGGCAAAAAGAAGGTAATTTGATTTGCTGTGTTTTTTTCTCTAGATGGGTTCAGCTTTGTTTAATTTACTGCAAATACAAGCATCCGAATTCCAAACTGAAGTCATGGAGCCCTAAGATACACCGTTACAGGTTGTCATCTATCTTGTCTTGATCTTGTGAAAGGCCTCAGCTTCAGTTTATGTTTCCTGGATTTTTAAAACTTTCCCTTGTCTGCTTTACAAATTAGTAGTTACTAAATCCACACATTTGGAGACTGACTTAGAAGTCATTGATTAATTTTCAGATTATGCTTCTTGTAGTTTCAGTTCACACAAATATATTGTTGGCAAAAGATATGTTAGCTTCTTGCTGTGTCCACCAGTGAAGAAAAGACTACCCTACAAGTCTCACCTTATGTTGGTGGGTGGGTGTTGGTGGGTGAGTGTGTGAGTGTGAAGGTGTGATAAAAGCAGTACGCTTTCTATTAGTGATTCTGAGCCTGACCTTTCCAGGGCAGTTTCTTGTATGATTTTAAGGCTGTCTTATTGAAAACAACTGATTATAGATGTTACAGATAATGGTGATAGTGAGGAAATAGCTCAAATCAATAACTGTGAAACTAATGTAGTGTCAGGTGTAGGGTTGGTAGGGTTGAGCTGGAGAACAGAAAGCTTTAGGAACCTTAGTCAGAAGTTCTTTGTTTAGCTTTCCAAAGTCAGCTGAAAATAGAGAAGACATAGCCATAGTAGTACCTGATATAATTCCATTTTGCTTTAATGAAATAACAGCACAGATCCATTTCCCCCTTCTTTTTAGGTATCTTGTTTGTTTTCAAATGACTGCTAATGTTATTTTTCATTTCATATACAGGGTGATGGAGAATATCCTTCAGATTCTACTTTTTCTTTTAAATGCAGTAGAGCAGAGGAAAATAAACAACTTCTTAGATAAGTTTGGCTATATTTAAAAGAAATTACAAAACCCCTTTAATTTGAATATTTATATGAATATAAATTACTTCTACAAATGGATAAATTGTATTATTTTTGTAAATCTGCAGTGTTTCGCTTAGTTTTCCTTGAGGAAATATTCTGTTGATTTTGGGATATTGTATGTCTGTCTCAAACAGAACTCCTTTCCTACTTAAGCAGAGGGTTTTGCTTGAATAGTAATAGTACAATACAGCCCATAGTAATTTTGCATTACTATCATTTTGTCTTTAGGGATTTACTGAGGCAAACTCCGGCTGAAATTATGGTCTGAATAAGGACTACCAAGTTATGTCAGTAGTAATATCCAGTTTTGATATACTGCTTTACAAAGCGATTTAGGAATAAATATTTTTCTCATTTTGTGAAGTAGGGAGGTGAGCTGGAATCCTTGGAGTCACCCTGCAAAACAGATGAATGGCTAAAATAGTTTAAGAGTTCTCTGTCCATTAATTCATGCTGTTCAGATGATCATTCGTTTGGAATGAAAATGTTCTTGTGGTATTAGTTCAGTGAATTTGGAGGACTGTAATGCTCCAAAGAAACCTGAGAAAGAAACTAGAAAGAATCCTGTTAGAAGAAAGTTGTTAAATACTCTCATTTGTGGATATGTTAGGCTGGAAATAAAAGACATGTTTTAGATACCACTTCCACTTACATGATAATATGTAGATGGTATACTCATGTGGGCATATCAGAAGTGGAATTCTGCGTGTAAACTCTGGAGCACAAACCAGAATTCTGGATTCAAATCATCCTGAAATAAAATGTTTTAAAATTCCAGACTGCTATGCAGACTTGATTTTTTTCTCTTTTTTTTTTCTATATTGGAGTGGTTGAAATCTTTGTTTCTTAATACAATTGAATTTTTGGCTTTTCAGAGCTTCGAAAGGAACATTGGAAAGTCAGAAGAGCTGTTAATTTTAACACTTGAACTTTTTCAGATCTATGAATGAACAGAAAGTAGAATTGCCACAGTCTGACACTTCTAATTATGATTTGGCAATATAAACCACACATGAAACATGAGCAATAAATTGTACTAATTTTGCTCAACAAAATGAAGAAGTAAATTGAAGGTTAAAAAGTAAATAAAACAGGATTATGATAGGAACACCTCATATTGTGTCTGAAAGGAACCCACATTAGATTTTCACTTTGAAATCCACACTGTTTTGAAGTTTGGTTTCATGGTTGATTTAGATGTGAAATCGATTTAGTGTTGAATTTTAGCACCTTAGGTGCTGTGAAATTTGTAATCTAGTTGTATTTTTCAAGAACCTTTGTGGTGTGTCTTCTCTTATTTCCCTGTTGTTTTATTTTAAGTAATATATTTATTTGTGTGTATCTCAACCTAAAAATTTCATCAGCTGAGCCACAAAAAAATAGTGTTTGATTCAGAGATTTAATTTAATTAAATCTTTATACTGCTTACATTTCTTCAATGAAAAAACAAACCTAATTTGAAAAGTAAAATTGTTCTGCGTTGGCTGCAAGTATAATTTTACAAGTGGCAGCATTTCTCCTAAAAAGAGGCTAAACAATTCAGTTAAGTTTTCACAGAACCACACACCAATAGGATGAACTAACTTAGACCTAGTTGTCAAAAATTGAACGCAAAGTCCAGAAATCTTTGGTACTTATCCCTCATCATTTCAGACCATTCTTATGTTTTTTTTTTTTTGGTAATGGATTTAAAAACAGATACCCTGCTTTTGCCAATCATGAAACTAAATACATTGCATTATCAATCCTGCAAGAATGTCACCAGCTGATTTCAAACTTGGGAAATAGTTTTGCATTTTCAAGAAAAGCTTCTGCTCTTGACCTGTCACTGCAACTGCTAATGAGTAATATGCAAACAAATCGATTTGTATGTGCAGTACCATGCAAGAAAGATGAGTCTCAGAGTAAAGCATAACAGTTTTTCCTGTTTATGTGTATAAAAAAGATAGTCTAGGTGCCAGACACTCATTCACCACCTCAGAGAAAGAATGAACTTGAGGAGGAGCTCATAATAACTTGAATTTTTGCACAGTCTTTTCCCTTTTCCTTTTGTTTCAAGGTTCAGCCATAGAAGCATTATTTGTAGGATATGATTTCTAGCAGCAGTTAAATAAAATGAAATGACTTTTGTAAGATAATTTTAAAGATCTGATTCTATTCCAGAATTTTAAAAAATACTTAAAATTAGAAAACATATATGAGTAAGTTTTGTTCTCTTGCATAGATCCCAGAGTAATGCAGCAAAGATTATGTAAGTAACTTGCTGTAAAAGCAAAACACTCCTGATTGTTTTGTGCATACACAGCCAAATCAATGGGCAACTCAAGCAACTATGAAGATTTCCAGTGTTCAGCCAACTTTGGATGATGCCCACATTGTAAATTTCAACACTTAGCTAGTTTTAACAGTGAATCTCCAATGCCAACAGAATTGGCTCGATTTATGAAATAGTTGTTGCAAATCTAAAAAGCTTAAAGGAAGTATTTTTGTACATATATATCAGTACTAAATACACATGCACTGCTTTAGTAAGTGTTGCAGAAGAGGAGTGCAGGTAGTTGGAGCTCAAAAACTTCATTTAAACTAAAGGAGACAAAAATAATTGATGCCATTTCATGTTTCATAATTGACGATATATTTTTTACAGGGAATTTTGAGGCAGATAATGACAGTAGTGGAGACACTACAGTGCATTTGCAGACTACTTTTATAGCAACACCAGAATATACTAAGCCCAGCCTTAGCACTAATAAAGAAAAAAGCAGTTATAAAACACAACTTGCATGGCAGGTGTAAAAAACCACATTCTTGTGTAGCATTGGAAACTGCCAGAATTTTTTTTTTTGGCAGTATGTTCTTAGGCAAAATAGAGTG